CAGTCCGGCCCGCACGGGAGGCGGCGCGGAGCTCGGCCCGCCGCTGGGCGCGCTCCGGACCGCATGTGTCCCGGCGGAGGAGCCGGCCCGAGGAGGGCAGGGAGGCCCAGCGGCGGGGCCCACACGTGTCCCCAGCTGTACAGTCAGGATCCCTGTGTGGGACTTGAGGTCGGCCGGGTTCCAGCAGCGGAGGGCAGGGCCGAAGCCTGGCGGAGAGAAGCACGCGGCCCCCTGCACCCTCCTTTGTCCCCATCGGATCGTCGGGGACGCAAAGTTGGAAAGGGTGCAGAGCCCGGTCTTGTCTGCTCCTCTGTCCTCACCGGGGATTCCGGTCCCAAAGCGTCGCCCCTCGGGAGGCTTTTGCAGACTGTCCCTGCCTGTGTCCTCCGTTTACTTGGCCGGATGACAGGGGCTGCGGATCGACCTAGTCCCTGGGAACTTAGGGGCCTTGCTGCACCTCCGGCTTCTGTGGCAATCCGGAGGGTCTTTGTCAGTGCTGAGCAGGGTTGAAACTATGGAGTGAGGGGAAGGGGGTTCCGGGGGGCCTCTTTGTGAGTTGTGCCAGCCCCAGCCCTTCCACTGGCCTCTCATTCTCTAGCCTGGTCTGCAGGGTGTGAGCTGCAGGGCTGACCCAGGATCCCCAGGGGTGGCCTTGTGTCCCTGCCGCCCACTTCAGTGGGACAACTTCAGGACTCCCTCCCCCAGCATCCAGCTGTCCCTAGTCTAGTCTGGAGGCCAGTCTGGGGATAGGCCAATGTACACCTGGGGGTGGAGTGGGTAGGATGGAGCAGGAGAGATTAGGTTAAAGTTCAGAGGTCAGGGCTGGGCTAGGCAAGTGTCCCTGAGGCTGGGTGTGTAAGTGGCAGGGCAAAGGGCACTCCACGAGCTTCTCATGCTTGTGCAAGGGTCACAAGGTACACATAGCCCTAGAGCCAGGTGGGCACCCAGCATCTCCCCAGGATGCACAGACAGGATGCTTGCATTGAGTCAGTCCTGGGATGACAGGGTCCTAGGCAGGTGTGGGTGCACCCCACAGGCTGCAGCCAGAAACCCACGGGTGGCCAAAGGCCCAGGGCCCATGGATGGGTGGCCTGCTGTGCTGGGTCGACCAGATCAGGACTGTTTTCCCCATCTAGGTGCCCAAGCTGGACCCTGGCCGGAAGAGACTGCCTCACCGCTCTCTCTTCTCCAGAGGCTACAGGGATCCCTAGCTAACAAAGTGAAAGAGAAAGTTGCCCCGCCCTGCCCCGCGGCCAATCGGAGAGCCCCTGGCTGCCTCCTAGTCGCTTATCTCCTCCTAGTTGAGTTTGAGTCAAGCTGCTGGCTGGAGCTGTGGAGGATCCTGGAGGGGCTGTGCACCCAGGGTGAGCAGGACCCTCCGGTTGTGGGCAGGTTAGGGAACACAGCCAGGGCGAACGTCTAGTTCCTGGAGGGCCCTAGGGTGTGAGCCAGCTGGGTGACCCTGGAGAACTGCACGGCTGGTAACAGTTGACCTCTGAGGTGCTGAGGGAGACATGCAGGGCCTGAGCAGCTGCAAGGTCCCCACAGCTCTAGTCTCCTGACAGTGTGCCCCGTAAAGGCCCTGGTCAATGCTCCTGGTCCCCAGCCCATTGGTAGGAGAGGCCCTTCAGCCCTCATCCCTAGAGAGGGTGGGGGGATGGCCTCAGGACTCCAATAAACTCCCCGCTGTCCCTGTCTGCTGATTCTGGGGGCTCCCCAGGCCCTGGTCCCTAGGTTCCTGTCTGGGTGGAGAGGAGGTGGCTGGCAGGCTGGTGGAGTGGGTATCTTAGTCTCCATGGAGGAGGTTGTCCCTGAGGTGGTCAGCCCCATCTGGGCCAGGTCTTGGGGTCCAGGGAGGAATACTCCATCCCAAAGTGCACAGGTGCCTGCTGCCCCTGCTTAAGGCTGTGGGCTAGTTGTCACAGCCTGGTCCCTCAGAAGCGCCTGGCCCTTTAAAAGCTGGAGCTTGCTCTGTGTGCGTGTGAGCGTGAGTGTGCGTGTCCCAGTGTGTGTGAGGTTGGCAAGGAGGACACCGGGGCGGGTGTTGAGGGGAAACCAGGTGGCCCCAGGGCTGATCCAGGTGGCAGGTGCCTCCTCTCCCTCTTCCTCCACCCTCCCCCCCCTTGTGCTGAGGCTTTGTTAAGGGTTGGGGGTACAGCCGCTTGTAAGCTGAGAGTAGAGAGCAGAGCTTTGCCCTATGCACCCCCCACACTAATCCCTGCCCTCTCTTCTGCACAGCAGTGGGGTGACGCCTTGCAATATCCCTGAGAGTGGAGGAGCAGCTGCCTCTTGCGTCGGTCCCACAAGCCCTCACCTACCCACCGCAGCTGCTGCCGCCGCTTCTCCCCCGCCCCTGACGTCGGCCCTGTACTGCCTGGTGACCACCTCAGCCGGTCCTGCCTGCCTGTCAGAATTAAATGGCTGATAAACAGATCAGGTCAGATACCTGGATCCCCTCTTAGCCGGCCCATCCTACCCTGATCACCCACAAGCTGTGGTGGAGGAAGAGTCCTGATTCCCCCTCTCCCCCCTCCCCTCGCACACAGCCTGCCAGCCAAACTCATCAATGGTGGCATCGCTGGGCTAATTGGGGTGACCTGTGTGTTCCCCATCGACTTGGCCAAGACGAGGCTGCAGAACCAGCAGAATGGCCAGCGCATGTACTTGAGCATGTGAGTGGGCCAGGGGTCCACTCTGCCTGTGATCCTGGGTTGGACAAGGGGATGGGACAGGGCAGGCCTGGGGACACGGCACAGGACTGGCCAGGGCCCTGCTGGGCTTCAGGGGAATTGGGGTGCTGGCTGGGCCCCTGCTCACCCCTCCCATTGGCCATAGGTCTGACTGCCTGATCAAGACCATCCGTTCAGAGGGCTACTTTGGCATGTACCGGGGTGAGACTTGGGCCAGGATGGGCTGCTGGTGGGGGAGGGAGGGAGGCAAGCCTGGGCCTAGTACATACATGTGGAGGTGGCTTGGGGTGCTGGCTGCATCCGCGTCTGGCCACAACCCAGCCCAGGATGATGGGGAGGGCGATAAGCGAGGGGCTGGGTCTGGGGAGGCTCGGTCTGGGTCCCATATCTGGACGCCACTCTGCCCCCATTTACTGCCAGTGCCTGGACACTGCTCCTTCTCCCAGCATGTGCCTCAGTCTAGGAGGCAGGGGCATTATGCAAAGCAGCTTAGAAAAGAGTCCCAGGTCTGGATTTGCCCACACGTGTAGCCTTGAGGCTTGGCTCTGAGAAGGGGCTGTTTGCCACCAGTGCTGGTTCTGTCCTTGTATCCCCTCACACCCCAGTAGAAGAGCCCTCTAGCCTCCAGGAGGGAGGTGTCCCCAGGGGGGCCAGCCATGGAACCAGGGTCTCACTAGCATCTGAGACAGATGGAGGTGGGGGAAGGAGATGCAGAGGGAGGAGAGGGTGGTGGCCAGCATGGGAGGACAGTGACGCAGGTAGGTGGCCACGGCGGTGGCCCTTTCCTGCCTAGTCCCCACCCCATCTGGCACAGACCAAGCCCAAATGTGGGTGAGAGGGCAGGATGCAGTGGCCAGGCAGTGGCTTATGGGGCTTGGCCAGCTGGGAAACGTGCACTGGCCCAGAGCCTCCCCAACCATGGCCCAGCGTGTCATCTCTCCCAACACTGTCTGCCTGTGTACCCCATGCCCTGCTGACCCCAAAATACCCCACAGGAGCGGCTGTGAACTTGACCTTGGTCACTCCTGAGAAAGCCATCAAATTGGCAGCTAATGACTTCTTCCGGCATCAGCTTTCGAAGGATGGGTGAGGGACTCAGCCTGCCTGGCTGCTGTGGACCCAGGTCCTGGGAGGGGCCCATGGCAAATGCCTGGGTGGACATGGGCACCAGCCCTGGCCATCTGGGGCCCGGCTTTGGCTTGCTTGGCCTAGCGAGGCACCTCCCCTTGTGTGGGAGTGAAGGGGCTTATAGTGATGAGTCAGCAGTCCCTGGCCCTCAGCCATTGCCTGCTGCCAGGCTTGGGGGACCAGCTAGCTCCCCTGTTGGAGTCTGGGCTGCCAGTGTGGCCCCTCCCAGGACATGCAAGATCCCTACTTCCCGCTTCTTGCCCTCCTAGCCCCTGCCCGAGTGGCCATCTGTCCCTGGGCCTGTGCCTGCTGCTTGAGGACCTTATCCACCCTTAGTGCCAGGCAAGGGCCCCCACTTCTCCTTACACCCTCATCCTCACAGGCAGAAGCTGACACTGCCCAAGGAGATGTTGGCAGGCTGCGGGGCTGGCACCTGCCAGGTGATTGTCACCACCCCCATGGAGATGCTCAAGATTCAGCTGCAGGATGCAGGCCGAATTGGTGAGGGGCAGGCCGGGGCAGCAGCAGGGCTTTGTTCCCTGCTCTGAGCTCAGGAGAAGACCAAAATTATTTTCTCACCAGCTGCCCAAAAGAAGCTTCTGGCTGCTCAGGCCCAGCTCTCAGCCCAGGCAGGAGCCCCAACCTCCATGGAGACACCTGCTGCGCCTCGGCCCACAGCTACCCAGCTGACCCGAGACCTGCTGCGGAGTCGTGGCATCGCTGGCCTCTACAAGGGACTTGGGGCCACACTGCTCAGGTGGGAAGGGTGGAAAGGGTGCAGGAGGCTTTGTGCCTACCCCACCTTCCAGTAGGTGTCACTATCCCTTCTCTGCAGGGATGTCCCCTTCTCCATTGTCTACTTTCCCCTGTTTGCGAACCTGGACCAGCTAGGCCGCTCAGCATCAGAGGAGAAGTCACCTTTCTATGTATCCTTTCTGGCTGGCTGTGTGGCAGGGAGTGCGGCTGCCGTGGCTGTCAACCCCTGTGATGGTCAGTGCTGAGCCTGGACCCTGGGCGGGGATAGGCCAGGGCTGGGCTCCTGTGCTAATGCACATGCCTCTTGCAGTGGTGAAGACACGGCTCCAGTCCCTGCAGCGTGGAGTCAACGAAGACACTTATTCTGGCTTTCTGGACTGTGCCAGGTGGGACAGGCCCAGGGGCTAGGGCTGGGGGAGGGGAAAGCACTATGCTGATCTTCCCCCCTCCCCCACCCCCGCAGGAAGATCTGGCAGCACGAAGGACCTTCTGCCTTCCTGAAGGGCGCCTACTGCCGTGCACTGGTCATCGCTCCCCTGTTCGGCATCGCGCAGGTCGTCTATTTCCTGGGCATTGCTGAGTCCCTACTGAGGCTGCTACAAGAACCCCAGGCCTGAGCCCACTGCAAGGGTGGAGCAGGGCAGCTGGTTCAGGACTGAGAGGGAAGGTCTCCCTCCAGGCCTCCCCAGTCAGTGGGGGTGGGGTGGGCAGGGGGCAGGGTCCATGGGGTGGTGCACACACAGGCCCCCGTGGGCCTGTGGGTATCATCATTGGGATCAATGTCTTATCTATGTAGAAAAATGCAGATATCTGTACATTCCTTGAGCTAGACCATGATCCAGTCTTGTCCAGACTGAGCACCCCCAGGGACAGAGCTGGTCTCTGGGCTGGGGACCCCAGTTCTGGGCTGAGCAAGCTGGACTCTACACCCTATCACTGGCATCCAAGGCTCTCCTGGTTTACAAAGGGGACCCCAGACAAACTTATTTATTGAATCTGCTGTGCCCGTGTGGCTCTGCCTGACCTGTCCATCCATCCATTGTCCCTGCTGCTCACCTCCCCTTGGCCAGCTTTGCAGGAAATGTGGGGGTGTTCATAGTGAGTGCTGGCCCCCAGGCTAAGTGGTCCACTGTGGGACCTTCTGGTGGGACCTCTGTCCCTGGCCCAGGTTGTGTGTGCAGATGCAGGTGTGCAGATGCAGGTTGTGCCCGCCAGCCCTCGGCTGGCCTGGCTCCTTGGGAGCGGGCTGGGCATGCTGCTACCTGCCCTGCGTGGCCAGGCAGACCCTGTGCTCCAGACCCTCTGTGGACCCCATCCAGGAATTCATTTTTTCAGCCTGGCCTCTGTTTGGAAAGCCCCCACCCCTGGACTGGACTGGGATTGACCAGGCCCAGCAGTAGACTTAAAAACCAGTATGGAGGATGGGGGCACCGTCCCAGCTGTGGGGGAGGCAAGAGCTGCTGCCCAGCCCCCAGGTCCCACTGTATTCTCCTGACCATGCTGGGGAAGTCCGCCCCTTTGCACCCAATGTTGTGAGTCGAGGCAGGCCCCTTGCCCTGCCCGCCGTGATCGTGTTGGTGACTCATCCTAAGTGCTGGTGCTGTGTCCCCCAACCTGGCCCCTCTGTGGAGGCCCCTTCCCAGCGACACTACCTGGGGCTCAGGTCTTGGCCCCCACTTCACGGTTGCTCCTGGAGCTGCCCCTTCCCATATCTGTACCTTGGAAGCTGCTGCTGCTGCTTAAGGAATTATATTTTTTTCTTTTGAAGAATTTTAAAAAGTTGTAACTTTTTGTGTCTTGTCATGTATAAGGATAAATAAATATTCTAAGTAGACACCCCGCCTCTGTGTGTGTATGGGAGGGCGGTTCCTCCTCTAAGGCCTAGCTTCCCTGGCCTGTAGACCTTTGCCTCCCACACTGCAGAGGGGACAGACCACGACTGTCCCTCGGGAAGGATCGGTTACCGGAGGGCAGCCTCAGCTGCTCCTCCTGGCCTGAGCTTGCCTTCCAGCCAAGGGTAGAGCTAGTCTGTCCGGCACCGTGAACCGGCAAATAGTTTCAGACTCCGCCCCATCACGGCCCCGCCTCGATTAACTGAAGTCACCAGGCCCCACCCCTTCGCGGTCCTCCCATCCTGCGCGCAAGCTGAGCACTGTGGGAAACTCCGGGGTGCGCCGCGTCCGCTTAGCTGTCGAGCTGCAACCGAGGCTCAGCGCCAGCCGGCCTGAAAGACAGCGTAAGGCAGCGGACGCCTCCGGGAACTGCGGGTCGGGGCGCCGGGCCTGGCTGGTGGGCCAGGATGCAAGCCACGGAGGTCACCGGGTTGCGTACCCCCGCTGTCTTGGGCTCAGGGGCTGTGGGAGGCAGCGAAGGCTGTCGGGAGGGAGCGGGTGCGAGCCAGAGGGGACGAGGGCCATAGCTGCCCTCGCCTGGTGTCCCCTGGGGCCGGGCCCTCCGAAGCCGCAGGTGTGGGGGGCGCCTGGGGCTCGGGGAGTGAGGCACTGGCCAGGCCTCTCCTTGGGATACCCTCAAAAGGCCGTGCCCTTCAGGTGACCTTCAGTGTGGTCACTGCGTCTGTGGGGTGGGGAGCCTGGGCTACAGCGCGGGGCAGGCTCCCTCCTCCTGTGGGTGAGGGCGTTTCTTATCCTTCCAGGGGCGCTGGGCCGCAGTCCTAGTCCTCAGTGTGGGCCCTTGCTGCACCCCATCTGGAACCTGAGTCGGCGAGGTCACTGCGGCATACAAGCACCCATTCTCTGCCCTGCCCTAAGCCCCTAAGGCACCGTGTGTGCTGTCCTAGGCAGTGCCACAAGCCAGCCCAGCTGTGGGCTCAGCAAGGACACCCTGCCATTGGGCTGGACGCAGGTGAGGGGCTGGGGGGTGGGGGTACCAGAAGTCAGAGGGTGGCTGCTAGGTAGGAGGCACAGGTTCGTGACTGCCTGTCCTACTTCTCTGCCTAGGGGTGCCCCCCCCAGTTTCACTGCCCCAGGGTCCTCACCTGTGGGCCCACTCCTGACCCTGAGCCAGGGTTCCAGTAAAATCCTGCCCCTCCACTGTGCCCACAGGCCCCCATCACCCTCGGACCCTGCGCTCTGGTTCTCAAAGAGTGGATGCCACAGGCCACAGGCAGTACAGGGTCAGGGACGAAGCAGAAGCCTCGGGCAATCCCACCTGGCCCTGCCCATCTGGGTTCAGTCCACAACCCCCTTCCTCTCTAGCCACAGGGGCTGCTCTGGGGGTGAGGGAGGCTGAGGAAGGCCATAGCTTGAAGAGGAGATTGGGGTCTATGGGAGCTCTGAGCCAGGGCTCCTAGGGAAGGTCTGCAAGGGGCAGGGTGTGCAGGATGAACAGGGGCTTTCTTTGCCACATTCTCACTCTTGTCCCACTCCAGGCCCATATGACGCCCAGGGACAAGCTGTCCTGAGACACAGTGGAGCCACCTGCTTCTCTTGCATACCTGCCCAGCCACCAGCACCACCACCATGGAGTCTAGGGCAAAGTCGGCCAGCAGCCCCAAGCCAGACACCAAGGTGCCTCAGGCCACTGCTGAGGCCAAGACCACCCTGGCTGTGGATGGAAAACCCCCCTCGACCAAAGCTGGGAAAAAGGAGGCCCAAGCAGAGAAACAGGAGCAGCCGGCAGCCCCTGCCCCTACCAAGAAGACCACAGCCAAGGCTGACCCTGCTCTTCTCAACAACCACAGCAACCTGAAGCCGGCCCCCTCGGCTCCTGCTGTCCCCAGCAGTCCTGATGCCACCCCAGAGCCCAAGGGTCCTGGGGATGGGGCAGAGGACGAGTCCACCACCAGGGGCTCAGGAGGCCAAGGTCCTTGGCCCTGTGAAAACTTGGCACCCCTACTGGTGGCTGGGGGTGTGGCTGTGGCAGCAGTGGCCCTGATTCTTGGTGTGACCTTCCTGGCCCGGAAAAAATGATTCCTAGATGACTGGGATGGGAGGGACAGAGCCACTTCCTATACAGACCTGGGAGCTAGTGCATGCAAGTTTACAGTACCTATCTATACCTACATACATCCATCATCTACACATATATACATACACCCCCCCCCATGTACTCAGTGGGAGAGATTGGCAGTGAGCAGCTCTGTGCGCTGCAGTATAGCCTAGGCGCTGGGCTTACAGGGCAGGGCAGAGGGCCCAGCTGGGCAGGCAGACAGCAGGGACAGCAAAGAAGGCCAGGACAGAACAGATCCTGTGCCTGCCGCCCGGTCTTGAAGGATCACTGTCGGGCAGGCAGTGGGTCTATATCCCAATCTCCTCTGGGCTGGCTTTGGGGAGACACCCTGAGGTGAGCTGTCCATCTGCAGTGCCATGATGGGCGGCACAGACAGCCTGGGGACTGGTCTTAGCAGGGGCTTCTCTAGCGTGAGGGTGCCAGGGGTCCAAGGAGGGTCTTCCCTCATAGCTGTGCCTGCCAACACCTCCAGCAAAGCATCCCCCCGCCTGCACCCAGCATCGCAATCTAACAAGCGTATAAATGCAATAACACAGGTAGAGTAGAACTGCTTGGTGGGTGTCAATTGCCCACCACCCACTGCCTGCAGGGAGACTGCTGCACAGTCCTCCCCATGCCTGGCCCCAGCCTGCCTCTGGCATGGTGGCAGCAGGTGGGCTTCCCCAAGTGGTGATGGCCGCTATGGGAGTACTATCCTCGCCTGGCTGGTGCCACAGGAACCCCGGGCCTGGGTGGAGGCTAAGACTGAAATAAACTCTGTGGTTCAAAGGCTGGCGTCCTCACTGTGTGGACTGGGAGGGCAGAAGCTTCCGGCGGGGACCTGGGGACAAGCTCCGCAGCAGACACTAAGTCTCAGGCCCTGGTGGATGGACCCACAGCCCCGCCTGGTGGTCTCACCAGCAGAGCTCCAGGCCTGTTTCGTGGGACCTCCTCCCCGTCCTCTGGAGATCTGGGAGCCCCATCCTTCAAGGGAACAGGAGCCTGTGGGGGGTCAATCCTCTTTCTGAGCCTGCTCAGACCTAGTGTCCATCAATCTGCTGCGGTAAGGTTGCGCTGGGCCCAGAAGCCCTTGGGCTGCACCATCTGGGCTCCATAGGCCCATGCCAGGGGTGCCAGGACGTGGGCAGAACTCTCAGGTCGTCTTCCAGCTGGTGTCCACAGCTGCCTCTCCTTCCTGGCTCTCCTGGGGCCCATCCTGCCCAGGGCAGCAGCCCCATCCCAGGCTCACCTAGCAGTGGGCACTGCCACACGTTGAAAACACCAGAACAGACTGCAGCCCTCATCCAGACTGCCCCCCACTCTCAGATCCAAAAGGCCTCCACCCTGGGCTGCCCAGTAGGGCCTGGCTGTTCACAGGGAGGGAGGGTGTGCATACGGATGCGGGGCTGTTCTGTGCCTGGCAGGCATCTCTTCCCACCCTTCAGTCCTCTTTCCTCCTCACCTATCCTGTGATTTGCACCTAAAAATAGACAACTGTAGTCTCAGCACAATTGGAGGCTGAGACAGGAGGATTTCACATCTGAGGCCATCCTAAAACATAGTCTCTGTCTCAAAAGCCAAAATGACAAGCGATTCTATTCATTTTACCAGATATGGAGCAGTGGAGGTGGCTGTGGGTTGGCCTGCTGTCCAAGTCCAAGGGTGGCCCTCTGTGGTGACACCCCTCCCATGCTGCTGCTTCCTTTGCGGTCACAGGATGACTTTTTTTGGGGGGAGGTAGAACCGGGGATTGAACTCAGATCCTGTGCTTATTCTACTGAGCCTTCTCCCCACCCCACCCCACCCCCTTTTTTTTTTTTTTTTTTGTCTTTTTGAGATAGGATCTTGCTATGCAGTTCAGGTTGGCCTTGAGCTCACTGTATAGCCCAGTCTGGTCTTGAAAAGATCCTCCTGTCTCAGCCTCCTGAATGCTGGGATTACAAGTGGTACACCACTATGACAGGCTCACAGATTGTAAAGTAGTTTAAAAATGTCTGCACCAGGGCTGGCCAGATAGCTCAGAGGATTAAAGTACCTGCTTAAGCAGATGCAGGGACTGGATTCAATCCCTGGCGTGCCTTGCCCGCCCCATCCCTGAGGCACATTGAGACAATGATTGAGACTGGACATGGTGGTGCAGGCCTGTAATCCCAGTGCTTGGGAGGCTGAAAACAGGAGGATCACTGCAGTCTGATCTGTGTGGTGAGACCCTGTACTAAACACATAAAAAAAAAAAAAATCTGCACTGTTAGACAAAACAGAAAAATGCTTGCGATAATGTGCTAAGTTGGATCTGGATTGTCCCCTAAAGCTGGTGTGTCTAAGAGCTAAGCTCTAGGGCTCAGCGCAAGGCCCGGCAAGCGCAAGACCCGGCAAGTGCAAGGCCCTAGCTTGGCACTGTTTGGAATTTGTGGAACTTTTAAGGGGACCCTAGTGGGAGGTCCTCAGGTCACCAGGGGTATGCTCCATTCCTCCCCCAGGAGTTACCCAGGACCTCCACAATGCATTTCCAGCCCTTCTGTTAGTTGGGCCAAGTTGTCCAGGCTGGTTCAAACTTGTAATCCTCCTCTGGTCTCTGGTCTCCCCAGAGTGCAGGGATTACAGGTGTGGGCATCCCGCTATGGGGATGCTCTGGACGAGGTCTGTGGGTCCTAGGCCTCCCCTAGCTCTTGTCCTTTTGGTCCCCCAGGCACCTGCTATGACATGCTGCTCTGCCTGCCACGAGCTCACAGCCTCTGAAACCGTGGGCCAAGATGAACCTTTGCCCTGTGAATTCTCAGCTGGGCCTGGTGGCACACACCTGTCATCCCAGCACTCAGAAGGCTGGTTCAGGAGGATTGCCATGAGTTCAAGTCCAGCCTAGACTGGACCCTATCTCAAAAGAAAACACCAAAATTTATCTCTAAGCCCATCCACACTGTCGGAAGCCACCACCTCTGTCCACCTCCAGGATTTTCAATCTCAACTCAAGCTCTGTCCCCAACCCCTGGGACCCACATCCTATTTCCTATCTCAAGGGACCTGATGACAAGGACACAACATCCTCAAGTGTCACCCAGGTAACATCAGATTTTTTTCTTGGTACTGGAGGTTGGACCCAGGCCTTCACGCTGTGTATGTAGACAGTCCTGCTAAGCTTTCACACTAGCCGCACACTTGTTATCCTCCTGTCTTGGTTTCCCTAAGCACTGGGATGACAGGCATGTGCCCCTGCACCCAGCCATGAGACACAGCTTTGGAGCTAAGTCACCCTGGACTGGGTGGCCACATTTGGTGGCCCCTTATGTCTCTGGTCGCTCACGTTGCTTCCATCCACGGGCCCAAAGAGAACCCTGCCTGCCCGGTGTCCTACTGCACCTCTGCTCATCGCACAGGTCCTGCTGTCAGCCTGAGGTCCTTTTCTTCCTCTCTGTGCCAGAGCTTATGCATCTGCTGGATGAAAAGCCTTTGCCTGGTCTGAGGAATTTCTGCGTATTCCATATCCAAAGCTTTTGCCACTCCGAACACCAGAAACTCACTTCACAGCTTACCGAGCAGAGGAGCCATCCGTCGTCAGGCTCTGGCCCGGCAGCCGCTGAGGACTCGGACTGGTCTGACCCCCAGCACTGAGGTCCTGCCTGCAGCATGCAGTCTCTTTCCCCTCCGAAGGCCTGACGGCCCCTGCTGCCCTGCACGCGGCCCCAGCTCCTCTGGCTCTGGCTTCTCAGCAGTGTTCCCTGAGCCTGCAGCCACACCTGTCGCGTCACCATCACTGTCACTGACTGGCCTTCTGTAACCGTCTTGTTTCTTTACTTAATTTCTCACGGGGCTCAGCTCCTTCCATCCCTTCCAGGGAAATGCCAGGACCTGCTGGCACATATCCCCAAGATCCAGGGTTTCAAAGGTCCACAAACTTGGGTAATAAAGGAACTGTTCCAAAAGAACTCTCGGGACATCAGGGATGGTTTAAATTATGTTTATTACAGAATGACTTAGGATATAAGCAAGATACGAAAAGTATTCTGTATATTAAAAAGCACAAATGTGCTATCAACCTAACACAGACATTGAGCCAGGCGTGGTGGCACATGCCTGTAAACCCAGCATTTGGGAGGCTGAGGCAGGTGGATCTTTGCAAGTTCAAGACCAGCCTGGGTTACAAAGTGAGCTCAAGACCAGCCTAAGCTGCACAGAGAGACCCTGTCTCAAAAATCTAACACAACAGGCAGCATTATCTGAGGGACAAAGGCATCCATGCCCTGGAAGTGCTGGAGGGGGGCCCTGCTCACAGTAAACCCAGGCCATGCGTGCCCCAGATTAATTCCCACCAGCTGCCCTTGTGCCCTGGACCCCAGCCCTCAGCCTTTGCTTTTGGAACCATGGTGCCAGCCTCTTTAGCCCACCTGTCCTCACACTACAAGCCAATGACTCATTTTCTGCATTACAGTCAGGGCTGGGCACTGTTGCCTCTCTAGCATGAGTTAGAATTCCTGCCAAGAGCATGCAGTTCCTGTGTGGACCCCACCTTAGGATATACTCTTGGTGTGACTGTGGATCCCCCCACCACCTCCGCCCTCTGGCGTGGGTAGGGGAGCTCAATGCAGCGCTCCAGTGCCCAAGGCCCAAAGGAGGGCAGGTGTGGACCTGCACTCAGGTGCTGTGCCTCAGACAGCAACTGCCAGCGAGATGGAGAGCTTCCGGCCCTTGCCCCTTACCAGCCAGTCTCCTCATGTCTTGTCAATGGAGCAGAACGGGGCTGCATTGGCCACTGCAGGCCACCAAAGGCAGGGAACCTGTCCCAGTGGGGGGGTGTGTGCCATGTGTTGGGCAGGTGGCAATGATATGGCCTTCTTGGAACCTGCCCCTGCTTGGCACAGAGGTGAGAGATAAGCTGGGCTTGGTCCCCATCACCCTCCACCCCACAGGACTTGGACACTCACCCACCACTTCCTCTGGGTCCTCCTGACACCCTTCCAATCACCTCCTTCAGCCAACAACTGCCACCATCTATCCACATTTGGGACTCCTTGGCTGGGCCTTGCCAGTCTGGGGAGGGGCAGTGTGCAGTGCCTGGGTGCCGAGCCATCCTGCCCCAGTGACGGTGCCTTCCTGGCCCAGACCAGCTTGGGGCTCTCAGTGACTGCCCTTTGCTTCCTGAGCTGAGTCTCCACACTTCACCTAGCTCAGCCCTGCCCTAAGCCCTACTGGGCACACAGCTGACTCTGGGCAGCTCCTACCCTTCCATGAGGAAGGGCTCATGCTTTTCAAAGCCCAGAAAAGTCACCTAAGTTACCAAAGGGCACTCAAGGCAACACTGCACAGGCATGTTCTCAAGAAAACAGCAACGAGGGCCAGGGCACATAGCTCAGTGGCACAAGCTGCCTGGCAAGTGCAAGGTCCTGAGTTTAATTCCCAGTACCAAAACAGGAAAAAAAAAAAAAACAGCAGTTAGCAGGTAGTACCACTGATGCATGGGGCTAGGGGTTAAGTCAATGGCTAGGAGTTTGATGGGCAAAGGAGCTCTAACATTTAAGCCAGGAAGTAGACAGGACAAAAGCACTCAAGAGACTCAGGCGAAAGGAGGCAGGGTTGACAGGAAGCTGGAGGCCTGCAGCCTGGGCCAGCTCCGCAGGGCACAGGTCCCTTTCACCTGTTTCTGGATGGCAGCAGGAGCGAGTTTACAGATAGGGATCAAGCGAACATGCTCCATAGTCACAGTGCTCCTGTGGCTTGCAGTCTCCCAACGAGGTCAAACCCAGCCTCTATGGCACCCCTGTGCCCTGCACCTTCCTCATCATTCACCATGACAAAGCCGAGCACCTGACCAGCAGGCACTGGCTATGAAGCATCGGCGCCTGTGCCTGTGAGGACTCTGACTTGGCCCTGAGAGAGGGCTTGGGAGGTGTGGCACAGCAGGACAGGGAGGGGGTACACCAGATGCAGCCAGATACCCCGAGGTAGGGTTCCCACCTGAGCCCTCTAGTCCCATCCTGGGGACCTTGCCAGGCCCTGGTCCGTCACTTCTCATAACAGCCCACAGTGCCAGGCGTCCAGCTGTGCCCCAGAGGTCATCGCTGAAGGTACTATTCAGGGAGGGGGAGGCAGCGGCTCCTACAGGTCTGGTGGGCCGGAGAAGGGGGAGAGGCGAGAAGGCAGAGTCAGGCAGAAGAAGCGGTGAGTGTCCTGGACTCAGCCGCTCTGGCTGGTGCCAATAACGATACTTCCTGTGGGAAGGCCTTGCAGCGGCAGGCAGTAGATGTCAGGCGGGCAACCCCTCTTTCCCACCAGCTTCATTCAGAGCTCCCCACTCTCTCCAGCCCAGGCTGTAAAGGACATGCGGGGTCAACTACAAGGCAAAGAAAAACTGCGTGGGATGCACCCTTGGCCCAGACAACCTGGACTTTCCAACAGAACCCAGCACCGCGGAGGCCTCGCCATCTCGGGAGCTGACATCTCTCCTGGGGTGGGCATGTCCTCCTGGGTGGCCTGCCGCACCGCTCACCTTCAGCCACGGGGAAGCCGCCCCGGAAGTTCCCTGAGCAGGCGGTCTCCGTCCGCCGCCGCCGCCGCCGCCGCGAGGCAGGGTCTGTGCCCGGGTTTACGCTGTGGCCCAGCTCTGTCGCGCTAGCGCGAAGTCACGCGGGCAAGTCAGGAGGGCACGGAGGTCCAGGGCCGGCCGGCACGGGCCAAGGCCCGATCCGCCGCTGGCTGGCCGGGGAAGCGGCGCGGGCGGAGCCCGGGCTTGCGGAACAGGGCGCGACGCGAAGGCCCCCTCCGGCGCCG